AGAGAATTTCCAAAATTATTATTAAAATGTCAGAAAAATATTGATAAGGTTGTCCTTGAACCTCTCCGTGCATCATAGGGTCACTGTTTTAGAGCCGCGACCAAATATATCGCCACGTGTCTTTACGCCTTTACGTCCCAAAATCACACAGAACTTGTACGTGAACAATTTATGGTCAGCTTCTGATCTTTGAGCGGTTCATTGATTCAGACCAGTCTGAAGCATCATTGACTCTGTGTCTGTGTGTGTGTGTGTGTGTGTGTGTGTGTGTGTGTGTGTGGCTGCGGAGGCAGTGAGAGGTCATGGGAAATGAGGGGTGTTGTTGTTCCTCCCACACTCTCTTTAACTGTAACTGTTCACAGTGGTGTGTTATTGTAGTGTGATAGTGTCAGTGTTATCAGGGAGGTCCCAATACACACACACACACACACACACACACACACACACTGATGCTGATAAATCAGGATGCTGACTTCTTTATATGTTTCCGTCTGTCTTTTATTTTCTTCAGTCACTTTGGGTTTTTGTGGCTGATGCGTTGAGCTCAGTGTCGACGGCCAATCACAGCACACAAGGGCGGGGCTTGGCACAAAGTTGGTGGGGAAATGATAACGTCTGAGTGACATCATCATTCAGTGCTCTGTTCTGGGAATAAAAATAAAATGGGACGATTGATATTTCTGTTTTTATTATGATTATTTTTATTTTTCATTTATCTGTTGATTATTGTGGAGGATGAAAAATGTCAGCTGTAATGAGGCTCTTCATCCTCCTCCTCTTCCTCACTACGCCCGCTCCTCTTGACTCCACTGAGCAGGAACAGATTGGCTCCCTTGTTACCATCGTTCTCGGGTTGACGTGCAGCCCGTTGAGCCTTGTGAAGAAAGAGTCAACTGTCTCAGTTTTCCTGTTACGTGCCAAAATGGCCTGCACCTGAATGCACCACATGCTCATAACGTCTTTGTTTTGTCTTTGTGTCATACAGATGCGTTTGTGAACAGTCAGGAATGGACGCTGAGTCGAACGGTACCAGAACTGAAAGTGGTGAGTGAACAACATCTCAAACAGAATTATAGAAACCTTTCAGATTCTTTCCCACCGACTGATCTCTTTTCTCCCAGGGCATTGTGGGTAACCTGGCCAGCGGTAAGTCGGCGCTGGTCCACAGGTACCTGACGGGAACGTAAGTCCAGGAAGAGTCACCTGAAGGTAAGGACGTTCTCTCTTTCTGTCTGTCTTTATGAGATCTGGCTGGATCTGTCTTTTCATTAGCTCCAATGTTTTTGTGCCAAACTCATCCAACTTTACCCTCCTCCTCCTCCTCTTTCCAAGATTAGATCCATGAAATAAATAAATAAACAAACAAACAGAAAAGTAGATTAGAAAGCGAGCAGAAAATAATAAAGCGAGGCTGGATTATGAACCTCCGTCTCCTGCACGCGAAGCGCCCGGAGCCGGCGTCCTCTCAGCCGCGCCTCCGTGTTTCCAGAAGCTTTTTCTTCTCAGGCGAAGGGAAACAAAAGCACAGATTTGAGCAGCAGAGCAGAAGCAAAGATAAAGAAGAGCAGAGAGAGTCACGCATGGACCTCTCCACTCTGCATCTATATTTTAGGGAGGTTTTATCACAGCTTGAAATGGAAATCTGCGCCGTTTCTGTTTCGGGTGAATAAATATAGGATGTGTTAAACTATTTAAAACATTCTGATATCAGCTGGTTTTAACCATGATGCCCAGCAGCCACACCGACGCCACCAGAACTTCAGGAGACCCCGCATTGGTTGCAGGAACAAGATTTCGGATTTCAGCTGCGTTAAATCATGTCATATCTAGGCTCTTGTTTTGGGAGCCGTAGTGGAGGTTTCTGTGGTTGGTGCTGGGTGATGGTGGCGTGTAGCTGTAGGTCATCATCAAGATGAGGAAATCATCTCTCCTCCTGCTGACTTCTAGCTAGCTGCATGCTAGCCTGGTTGATGTTTCCAAATGTAAACGTCAGTAAACAAGGAATGGGGTGATGTGGGGAATGTGAGGTGCTCCTGCTTCAGCTGGGAATAACTGCTCTAACGTGTCACCGTTCAGAGGCGACTGCAGTGTGACCCTGCAGCTGTTTTGTGGTCGTCAGGATGTGTGGACTGTTAAATTATTTCACAACCAGAAACCATAGATTGCCAGAACCACCACGAAATATGGACAATTTTGAGGACGCAGCCAACGAAGTGAGAAGACGAAACAAGGACTTGACATCACTTAACTTAAATAAACGTAACTTAACTCAACTTAATTTAACTTGACTTAACTTGACTGAATTTAACTTGACTTAACTTGACTAAAATAAGTTGACGTGACTTAACTAACTTGACTTGACTTAACCTGACTTAGCTAACTTGACTTAACTTAACCTGACTTAGCTAACTTGACTTGACTTAACTTAACCTGACTTAGCTAACTTGACTTAACTTGACTCGACTTAACCTGACTTAATGTGACTTAACGTAATGTAACTTGACTTGACTTAAGGTAACTTGGTTAAAGGCAACTTGACTTAACTTTACCTGACTTAGCTAACTTGACTTAACGTAACTTGACTTAACTTGACCTCATTAAACTAACGTAACTTGACTTAACTTAACTTGACTTAACTTGACTTGACTTAACCTGACTTAATGTGACTTAACGTAATGTAACTTGACTTAAGGTAACTTGACTTGACTTAAGGTAACTTGATTAAAGGCAACTTGACTTAACTTTACCTGACTTAGCTAACTTGACTTAACTTAATTTGACTTGACTTAACCTGACTTAATGTAACTTAACATAATGTAACTTGACTTAACTTGACCTCACTTAGCTAATTTGACTTGACTTAACTTGACTCAACTTAACCTGACTTAATGTAACTTAATGTAATGTAACTTGACTTAAGGTGACTGAACATGATTTTACATAACTTAACTTAGCTTAACTTAACTTGACCTAATATAAATTAACTTGACTTGACTTGATGTAGTTTAGCTTAGCTTAGCTTGACTTAGCTTAGCTTGACTTGACTTAATTTAATTTAACTCAGTTCAGCTCAACTTAATTAAGTCAAAGGAGCTGACTGAATCACATTTCACTGTAGTTGCACTATGTATAATTTCCATGTGACAAATATATCATGATGATGATGATGATGATTATTTTCTGGATTAATCACATGGTCCTTTAAACTCTTTAAATACGACGTCCCGCAGGCGGCTGCTGGAGATCGCTGTTTGCATGATCCTGTTTAATCAGTCTAAAATAAGAGCCATTAAAGATCAGGGTGGGAATCACCAGAGCATACTATAACAATACTTCAATCACAATACAACATTATTTTGATTTTAAACGTGTTGCGATATGCTGAGTATTGTGATTAAATGTATTGCAATATATTACCTCTTATAAACTGTAAATGTTGTCCCTGAAGGAAAACTTTGTCACGTGTGTGCCTGTAATGACGTCATTATGCTACTTTACGTGTAGTGCAATGAATAAAACACCTTTTCACTTCTCTCTCAAGTAACTCTTTAAGCGTTAAGAAATATTTCTACATTTAGAAATGTTTTGGATCAAAATATTTTGTGTGTATATTTTGTAAAATCTGATGACAATGCGTCCGGATGTCTGAGTGTATAAGTATATTTCTGAATTAAGGGAGACAGTATATGTAACTTACAGGACAGTGTCTCTGCGGAGCTCTTTAATGTTTCATCCGGCTCTTTGTGAACAAATAAAAATCTAACTAAAGCTTCCTGCAGCAGCGTCTCCGCTCACACGCCCCGCGGAGTCGGCGGCCATATTCCTCATCCAATATTAAAGTGGCTCCTCTGCCAGCTCCCCCTCCTCCTCAGGCAAAGACCCACTTTGACTAAACCCCTGTGTTCCTCTGAATATTTCACCACTCGAGCTTTTCTCCTCTCAGGAGGTCTCGGACGCCTCCTCAGAGAAACGTCTGCTTCTGTTATCGACCAATGGGTGAGGTTCATGCGGCCGACACGAGCTGCTTCATTTAAATGATTCATCCCTTAATCACTGATCAGCTGTCGAGGACAGATCTGCTGCTGCAAGGCTTTTATTGTGAAAGGCTTTTATTCTGGTAGCTGTTGAAAAGCTGAACACAACTGAGAGACAACCACTTTTTTATTCTGTTTATTTCAGATTTCTGAGCAACAGAAAAAACAGCGAAGTAGACTGTGAGACTTATTATGAGAGATAATGACGATAATTATTTGGCTCTACATTTTGGTAGTAGTTTTTATTTCTTATATGATAGGTGTGTTTATTTTTAATATTCTACTTTTATTACATCTTTTAAAGAATAATAATAAGTCGTAGTTGTTTGTTCCTCCTTTAGTTAACAAATAAAGTTAAAAGCTCCTTTTAAAGCGCCTGTTTGAGGCGAGAATGTTGGATTGTTGTTCCGCCTCCACCACGTCGGTAAATGTCTCGTTTTTAAAATTATGCAACAAATCACGTGGTTAGCTTTAGATGAAAAAACATGAAGATTTTGCCTTAAATAGACATGTTTTTTCTTTTTACTAATCTGATCACGTCACGTGACATACGTCATGTGCTACACATGCTAGCACACAAAGTTTTTGTCCCATCCACCTCAACAAAAGGGACTCCTTATGTTTTATCGTTACCGGCAGTGTTTCAAAATGACACCACCCAGCGGTGTATCGTACCAGAGCAATCTCGCCTTTAAGTCGGCAACAGAGGCAGCAACAGCGCCAAATAGACATCTGTGTCAGAGGGGCAGCCTGCAGGACGGGACCACTGATTGGACAGGTGTGACGCTTTGACCACAGGAGATGTGAAGCAGCTAGTAGTAGTTAGCAGCTAACTCGAAGACAAACAGCTGCCAAAAACGTCTCCGCTTGCAACATCCTCCTGAGACCCTGTGAGGACATCACATTCTGGGTTTACTGCACCTCATACTTCATCCTACTTAACTCAGATCTGTTGTCCTCGTTCATGGACAAGTGTTTGTGCCATCTAGTGGCAGTAAGAGCACAATACAGTAATCCATGTAAAAACAAGATGGAGGCCATCTCTGCCAAGTGAAATCATCAAAAATGATGCAACATAAAGTGCAGGTTTTGCCGTAGTAACTGTCAGGTATACGTGACACTTCCTGCACAGATGCTTCACATTAAAAGCCTTCAAGTGGCTCAAAGAACAAACTCCTTCCTGTTCCTTTTACTTTGAAACATCTGCAGGAAGTTTTGGCTTCGTGGTTTCTTTTTAACTGCTCGTATTTTAAACTTCTTTGGCATCTTTTCAAGAAATAATCAGACAGGAAACAAAGTGAGAACCATCTCATTAACACGGTGTGTGTCAGTAAAGCTTCCTCTGCCTGGTGCTGAGAAGAGAAACTGCAGCTAACTAACCCGGCTCGACCTCTTTTCAGCCTTGAAAACCATCAAACGCAGTTTATTCAGGGTGAAACTCTGCAGCTTTTATCATGTGGGGACCCACCCAAAAACCAATTTTAGCTCCGGGTCCCTCAGCGGAGGAGCTGGGCCTCCTGTGTTCTCAGGGTGCAGTTAAAGTTTAAACACAAAGATTTTTATTAATAAGTCACGAGAGGAGTTTATCACAGAGTTAAAGAGACTCTGAGGGGTCAGAGTTGAGTTACTCCAGAACTCGGAGCAGGGATCCAGAGACTCTGTGGTGGAGGGGAATCCCCGGAGCAGATTATTCCCGAGGTGTCCACACAGAAAAAGAGATGAAATCTTGTTCAGCAGTGACGTACCTCTTCTTAAAATGCCCTCTGCGGCTCTGCCGTGTCGGACTGCTAAATGCCCAACGGTCTGTTTCCACCGCTCGGCCTTAATTACACCGCCGCTCTGCCAAGAGCAACACGACACGGCTTTTCAAGCAGCTCCACATACCAGATATCTGAGCCAGCCCCAAACAACAGCTCCCCAAAATTCTTTGATCTGATGACGAGCCTGGCGTCCAGCTCCAATTAAAAAAAACAGCTCTTTGAGATGGTTGCATAACGATGGAGGAATAAAAGGAGGAGCTGATGTGTTGTTTTGAAATTCCTGGGATCTAAAAATAAGCCTCGGCCTGGATTCCCATGGTGATTGATTGGGAAGCGGAGTTGGTGGCTTGCGAGCGGCCGGGGCGACCGCAGCGCCACAAAGCCACTAACCAGAGATATTCTGGGGCTGCAGACTGGAGCCTCGGCTGCAGACGGCCGCTGCGCTCACATCAGCTCTTGTTAATGAGCGGGAAACTTCCTGCAGCTCCTGTTAGTGTGAAACTGATTCTTATTCAGCTTTCAGCATCAGTCCTTTAAAACTCCTCTCTGTGCTGCGTTCAGGGACACTCAGACGTGCAGGGTTTCATACTCTGTTGAGCTGTCGGAGAATGAAATGTAAATGTTTTGAAAAGGAAAATATAATTATTTTCTTCTGTTCTGAACATGTGCATTTTTACTTTCTCATTTTTCATACATTAATAGTGCAGGATGTTCTTATGCTGTTTTCCTACACAAAGTAATGCACCAAAGGTCGTACGTAGCTTATACATATATATTATTCTATATACGTACTTCATAATTCGTGTGTAACCGGAGTATTCATGAAGGCTGTGATCATGTGACCAATGCACTAACAGGAGTAAATATGGAAGTGTCCAATAAGGAGGCAGGTCAGAGTGGCAGTCAGTGGGTCAAAAAACACAGGACTTTCCGCTGGAGGCCGGTGTTCAGACCTGTGTGAATGTTGAGTCATTTTGAGGCACGTCAGCACCATGTTTCTTTTGCTAAACCTAACCTCTGTAACTTAATGTTATGTCCATAACATCATTATTCTGGCGCAAATCCGTGGGATGTCATAGAAACCATTGTGGGTGCATTTTACATAGGTTATTATACGAACAGTTTTGGATGCACTTCCGCACGATATTATACGAACAGTTGTGGGAGCATTTTACGTAGGTTATTATACGAGCCGTTGTGGGTGCATTTTACGTAGGTTATTATACGAACAGTTGTGGGTGCATTTTACGTAGGTTATTATACAAACCGTTGTGGGTGCATTTTACGTAGGTTATTATACGAACAGTTTTGGATGCACATCCGCACAGTATTATACGAGCCGTTGTGGGTGCATTTTACGTAGGTTATTATACGAAAAGTTGTGGGTGCATTTTTGTAGGATATCAAACAAATCGTTGAGGGTGAACTTTCACAGGTTGTTACACAGCCCATTGTTTGTGCATTTTTGCAAGATATATAAACTGTTGTGGGTGCAATCCCATAGGCTGCATTTTCGTAGGATTTTATATGAACACTGTATTCCTACAGGATATGATACTGAGCCTCCCGACTATTTTGATGAACAGTGAATCTTTAAATCTAATTCTTCGATCAAAAATGGTGGTAAAAGTTTTCAGTTTTCATGTCACATGTGGAGACTTCCTGTTTTCTGTTGTTTCACACGGAATTAAACTGAATATGTTCAATTTTTATATAAAACGAGACACTTAAAGACGTTGTGTTGGACCAAGAGGAACTGAGACGGACATTTATCACTGTTTTCTGACATTTTATTTTATTGATAATGCTAAAAAACATGACTCTAAAGATGATTCACTGATTATTTTATCCATCATTTGGTTAATAGATGACTTGTATCGACTGTACTTTAAACTTCAGAGTGTCCTTGAATGCACCATCAGTAAGAGTCTTGACAGTGAATCAGCTGCTCTGACTGAATCAATCAATAAAAGTGTCTGATTTGAAAACTGATCGTCAGGAACGTTAAGTATCTGCTGCTCTCAGTGAAACCACCGGAACGATCCGTCGAGGCAGCAACGACCACGACCCCCCCTGAAAGTCACGGTGGTGTGTTTAAGGCGCTGCAGCAGCAGATGGAATCCATTAAAACAGAAAGGAGCTCTGGTTGGGAAATCACCCGCAGCCACCAAGACTAATGCTGCTGCTGAGTTTGTGTAGCTGCCGCAGACCTCGTCCACAGATCCTGTTGTTTTATATATAGGCTGTATTTATTTGTTACTGTAACGGAAAAAGGAAAACAGGAAGTGAGGACGGAGTGAAAACGTGGAAAAAATCAGGAAAGTCGTTTGACTGCGGGTCAAACTTCGACATCTGCGAAACAATGTTGATTTATCAGTTTATCTGCGTAACAAGACGAGACAATGACAAGACGGATCTCGATAATAAAACGCCACAGAGAGGAATTTAGTTTCCTCCGCTCTGCAGAACATCACTCTGCTGATGACACCCGAACTCTGAAACAATAAGTAGACGCATTGTACTGCGCTTTTTGGTGAGTTTAGGCACAGAAGCGGCTTGGTTAGGGTCAGGAAACCTTCATCACAGCGGTTCTTTGTCACTTTGTACCCGCATTAATCGTTTTTTTATTGCTAATGAGTGAACAGGTTGTAACAACTTAAAAACTGAGACCTTCTTAGAATCTTCTTAGAAAGAACTTGGGCTAAATTTTCCAGGAAACCGCCAGGAAATCAGGTTATTTCATACCGCAGAAATTAGGCTTTTTTGGCTTTATGCGCCACTGAGCAACTTTCATAGGAATATACGGGGCTCCGCCTCCAATGCTGTATCCAGGTCTCACACAAGCACGTGGTTACATTTAGCCAACAAATGTTCGTGGTTACATTTAGCCAACAAATGTTCGTGGTTACGTTTAGCCAACAAATGTATGTGGTTACATTTAGCCAACAAATATACGTGGTTACATTAAGCCAACAAATGTACGTGGTTACGTTTAGCCAACAAACATACGTAGTTACATTTAGCCAACAAACGCACGTGGTTATGTTTAGCCAACAAACGCACATGGTTACGTTTAGCCAACAAACGCACATGGTTACATTTAGCCAACAGATGTACAAGGTTACGTTTAGCCAACAAATATACGTGGTTACGTTTAGCCAACAAACGTACGTTGTTACATTTAGCCAACAAACGCACGTAGTTACATTTAGCCAACAAATGTACGTGGTTACATTTAGCCAACAAACGCACGTGGTTACATTTAGCCAACAAACGCACATGGTTATGTTTAGCCAACAAACGCACATGGTTACGTTTAGCCAACAAACGCACGTAGTTACATTTAGCCAACAAACGTGCGTGGTTACGTTTAGCCAACAAACGCACGTGGTTACGTTTAGCCAACAAACGCACGTAGTTACATTTAGCCAACAAATGTACGTGGTTACCTTCAGCCAACAAATATATGCGGTCACATTTAGCCAACAAATGTACGTGGTTACCTTCAGCCAACACATATACGCGGTTACATTTAGCCAACAAACGTGCGTGGTCACATTTAGCCAACAAATGTACGTGGTTACCTTCAGCCAACAAATATACGCGGTTACATTTAGCCAACAAATATACGCGGTCACATTTAGCCAACAAATATACGCGGTTACATTTAGCCAACAAATGTACGTGGTTACATTTAGCCAACAAACGTGCGTGGTCACATTTAGCTAACAAATATACGCGGTCACATTTAGCCAACAAACGTGCGTGGTCACATTTAGCCAACAAATGTACGTGGTTACCTTCAGCCAACAAATATACGCGGTTACATTTAGCCAACAAATGTACATGGTTACATTTAGCCAACAAATGTATGTGGTTATATTTAGTTAACAAACGCACGTGGTTACATTTAGCCAACAAACGCACATGGTTATGTTTAGCCAACAAATGCACGTGGTTACGTTTAGCCAACAAATATACGTGGTTACATTTAGCCAACAAATGTACGTGGTTACATTTAGCCAACAAATATACGTGGTTATGTTTAGCCAACAAACATACGTAGTTACAATTAGCCAACAAACGCACGTGGTTATGTTTAGCCAACAAACGCACGTGGTTACATTTAGCCAACAAATGTACGTGGTTACGTTCAGCCAACACATATACACGGTTACATTTAGCCAACAAACGTGCGTGGTCACATTTAGCTAACAAATATACGCGGTCACATTTAGCCAACAAATGTATGTGGTTACATTTAGCTAACAAATGTATGTGGTGTTGGTGTCTGACGCAGGAAGTCACTGACCAAGCGCTGGTATTCTACGACTTCGGTGTTGATTTTAAACATGAGGATTTATTGTCTCTGGTTTGGACGCCACATCAGTTCACCTAACGTCCTCAGAGAGATACCTTTAGGAACACATGTCTTTAGAGACACACATACGTCCCTTCATTACGTTTGTTTTGGCCGTCTTGTTGTTGTTTTCATAAATATAAACAAACAGAAAACAGATCCAGCCATGATCCTTGAAATCTTCTTCTTCTTCTGCAGGATGTTTTTGTTGTGCTCTGACCTCCAGCTGACCTGCTTGGAAAACTCTGGTGTCCTCTGGTGTCCTCTCTCTGTGTCTCTGGTGTCCTCTCTCTGTCTCTCTGGTGTCCTCTCTCTGTGTCTCTGGTGTCCTCTCTCTGTGTCTGTCTTCATAAGTGTCCCTGTGTTGGACGTAGTGATGGACTCTGTCCTCTCTGTTGGGTCTGACTGCATGTTATTAACTGCGGCTGCGTTGTCTTTTTGCTTTCTGTCTTCTTTCTGGGCTGCTCTTGTAAACTAGCTGACGTGGACGCAGGTAACTATCCTCTTCCTCTTCTTCTTCTTCTTCCTCCTCTTCCTCCCATCCATCCATCCATCCTCCTCTCTGTGATTGTGACGGCAGCATGTTGAGAACGTCTCAGCTTCAGCAGCGTCTCGTTAAAGCTTCATGAGGTTCAGCAGCAGCTGCTCAGCGTCGTTTTATTCACACGCAGATCAGAAGGAAACATAACGAAAGCTGCTCCATCATTTCCACAGAGGGTTCTGTCATAATAATAATAATAATGTGCATATATGTGTTGCACACAACTCAAAATAAAACCAAACATTGGCCAATATAAGAAAGGCAAAATGCAAAAGTTGAACACACACGAGGACCTGTAACGAAAACACTGAAAATAAAACATGAGACGATAAGTTTGTCGTGCTCGACACAGGTGCAAATACAACAGATAATATGTAGAATCTGAAGAAATTTGGATGGAAAGAAAAAGACAAATATTATTTAAGTTTGCATAGCAATTATGGATATTAAGAATTTCAGAATAAAATTACGTATTTGCCAAAATAAAAGCCCAAAATGCAAAAGTTAAACACACACAAGGACCTTTAATGGAATAACAGAGAAAAACAGAAGAACAAGCGATTAAAAAAAACAAAAAAACAAAATAGAGCGTAAGTTCAATAAAGTTAGTAAAATTTGTATTACTTTACGTGATGCAAAAAATACAAAACAAAACAAAAAAAACATCAGATAAATACAGTGTAAAATCCAGAACCGTGCACTTTGGACATATGAGGAGACACAGGCGGGAAACTCACTGTTAAAAAAACCCACTTTTTGTTGCGGTATCAGGAAATACGACTATTTCACCGGAAAAAAAACAGCTGCTTTTTGTGAAATGCGACTGTTTCTGCATAACCCTCCCCCTGAAAAACAAAAAAACAAAAAACACAACAACGGCTTTTCATGGCAAACCCCACTTTTTGTTGTGGTACCATGGCAGGAAATGCAACTTTTTCTCCTTAAAAAACAACCGCTTTTCATGGTTTTATCCTGGCAGGAAACGCGACTTTTTATTCATTAAGCACTACAGCTTTTCACGGCGCTATCCCGACAGGAAACACAACAATTTCACTGTTTAAAACAAAACAAAAAAAATAAACAAACAAACACTTTTTGTTGCGGTATCCTGACAGGAAATGCAACTTTTTCCTCCGTAAAAAAACAACCGCTTTTCATGGCGTTATCCTCGCAGGAAACACGACTTTTTATTCATTAAACACTATGGCTTTTCACGGTGCTATCCCGACAGGAAACACGACTATTTCACTGTTAAAAAACCTCACTTTTTGTTGTGGTATCCTTGCAGGAAACGCAATTTTTTATTCATTAAACACTACGGCTTTTCACGGCGCCATCCCGGCAGGAAACACGACAATTTCACCATAAAAAAACCCCACTCTTTGTTGTGGTATCCTGGCAGGAAACGCAATTTTTTATTCATTAAACACTACGGCTTTTCACAGCGCTATCCCGACAGGAAACATGACTATTTCACCGTTAAAAAAACTCACTTTTTGTTGTGGTATCCTGGCAGGAAACGCAATTTTTTATTCATTAAACACTACGGCTTTTCACGGTGCTATCCCGACAGGAAACACAACAATTTCACCGTAAAAAAAACAAAAAAAAAACAAACACTTTCTGTTGTGGTACCATGGCAGGAAATGCAACTTTTTCTCCATAAAAACAACTGCTTTCCATGGCGTTATCCTGGCAGGACACGCCATTTTCTTCGTAAAACACTACGGCTTTTCATGGCGCTATCTCGACAGGAAACACGAATACTTTGCCAGAAACAAAGAACTGTTTTTTGTGGCACTATCCAACAGGGAAATGTGATTATTTCTGTGTAAAAAAAAAACCAACAACCAACAAACCAAAGGCGTTTCATGGCACTTTCCCGGCAGGAAACATCACTATTTCTCTGCGGTATCCCAACTTTTTCTCCGGAAACAAACAGCTGTTTTTTGTGGCACTTTCCCGACAGGTAATCCAACTTTTGCTTTGTAAAATATAAGCGCGTTTCGTCGGGCTGTCCCGGCAGGAAACAGCTATTGATTTAAACAATCAACCAAACGTTCAATTTTGTTTGCCATGGTTCTGCGACGTCAAAGTGGACAAGTTGTGTACCAAATTTTCACGAGTTCTGACTTCGTAAACGTCCCCAGTCAGGAGCTCATTTATCTGATTATTCTGCCAGCACATGAAGGCAGCGTGAGTTTCCTTCCAGCCCTGGCAGTGTGTCGTGTGAACGTCTCCGTCGAGGCTGAAACAAGTTTCTACTGAATAGATGAGAAATGAAAATAAAGACGTGCTGCTGCCGAACGCCATCGAACGATGCTGAAGCTGAAGCTGAACTCCACGTGTCTGAACTCGCCTCCGTGTCTGTAGTGTAGCTGATGTTGTACATCACACACACACACACACACACACACACACAGTATATAAATATATAAACACGCTGTGCTGATTCAGTGAGCCATCTGCTTTACTGTAGCAGCACCGTCCGTCCTCGCCACATGGCGTCTGTACACAGGAAGCTGAACGTCTACCTCAGGGTTTTATTCTCTAAAGTTATTTACCTGTAAACACCTGATCCATCCAGGACACACACACACACACACATGCACGCTTCACACAACATGAGCGTCTGAGTCTGTGACCTGTGGGAACTTCCTGTTTCCCAAATGTTGGAAAACTTGATGTGTTTCAGCTTCGAGACGTCTCAACTCAAAATATCTGCTGTGTGTGTGTGTGTGTGTGTGTGTGTGTGTGTGTGTGTGTCGCTGCCGTATATAAACATGCACCATATCATTTACTCTGCTGTCTGTAGTAAAGGCGCTGGCTCTCAGTGTTTACAGATCAGCTGATCCCCAAAATAACATGTGCACTTTTATTTTTAGTTTTTCCCTCCACTTCCTGTAAATCGCCCGGACCGGACGTTTGTTCCCACACTGAGCCGAACACTTGAACGCTCACTCTGCTGCTGAGTCCCTCTGAATGTTTGCAGGACGAGACGGAACGAGTCTGATTTATTTTATTTATACGACACAACAACAACCAGGATACTTTTAGTGACTTTATTTATCCTCGAAAAATAAAAGTTTATTTTAGCTGCACGGTTTTTAATGCAAAAAACAAAAAACAAAACAGGATGACAACATGAAGTGTTTTTTGTTTTGTTTGTTGTAGATTTTTTTAATACATTTT